GCTTTTAACGCAATTGTAAATGAGATTAAATAATAGTAGATTTAAACTTACTAACTTCCAGTATTCTTATCTCTAGGGCTGTGTTTTAGAAAACAATTTTTGATAATCGATACTGCCGATGATTTTACCGAAGTGTTTAATCACAAGATTGATGATGGTACCAAACTTTTCATATTTTTATGAATAACCTAAAACAGACAGTCATTTCTGTCTTTGATTTAGTCAAAATAAAGCAGACATAACAAGTTTTGTGGCCACCGAGGACTCAGCCAAAGGCATCTGGATTAAATTCTTAAATGCAGTTGATCGAGGGATTGTCTATGGAGAGAAATTAAATCTGTTCAAGGCAAACAGCTCAAGTTGAAAGAACATATTTACCCATAACGTAAGCATACACTGAAACTGAGCTCTCGAGTTAACGTGCGCCCGAACTTGTGCAAAACATATAAATGCCTGACCCGTATTGATGATTGCGGTCGTGTTCATTAAGCTCCTCAGGTAGCATACTGCCTGATGGTTATAGACCCGTTTGTATCAGGAAAGTCGAACGTTTTTATTTAGCTGTCATAATTGGCTCAGTATGTCGTGACTTATAGTGAATTGAATTTCTAGATTCCTAGGATTTTACCACGATAAATATTGCATCTTGCTATTTGCTACCTACTCAGCCTCGAGTTCCCCGCATAAACAGGGAGATCGACGAAATGCTCTGCTGTTTGTAAAGACCATGTAGAAGATAGCGATATCAGAAACTCGAATTAATTCAATTCGAGTTTCAACGTAGATTAAATACAAGCTAAACTTTCAGTTTCCACGTATGCTTCTGAATTCAACTACTGCTGCTATGTATTTGGCTGATTAATGTGTAGAAAATCACATCCACCAAAGAGAAGGCCGCTGTGTAATCTCTGAACTGTATAATTTTGCTAAACTCCTTCACTGTGAGTCCTTCGCACTTGAATCGAGAGATGAAATGTTTGCTCCTGCTTGCTCGCCGCATACAGATGTGATGCAGATATCAAAAGTAATGATGTCTTTATATAGCTGATCTGGAACGACTAGGTCCTCGTGTTTTCGGACCAGGACAAGATCTGGACTGAGGTTCATGCAAGCCTTGTGATGATTCAGGTCAATCCTGCAGGTACGTCCAGACTCGGCCTGTGCTTTTACTAGCATTAAAATAAAAAACTGGGTTAGATCACGGCATCCTTGGCAATGTGCACACGTACAGCAATGCCACAATTCAGGCCAAAGTCACAACGCTGCGAATTTTTCCTCTTATCTGCTTGTGGCACGATGATCTCTTGCTTCGAAGCTTGAGGCTGGATCTTATATATCCTGGATCAAATCAGATGCTCCTGCTTGGTTCATATCGAGTTTCGTCATGACAACAGTGGAAGCATCGAAAGTAGCGCGCTTATTCTTGAACCAGTTCGCTTTCTCTCCAAAGGCCACTTTCCAGGATTGCGACTATGTCAAACATGATGGTAAAATACATAGCATGTAGGCTGGAGTGAGAGAGGGTGCTTTTCAAGCTCAATTTTGAAACACGTTACGACCATAGTGAAGACTGGTACTCATGGAGAATATTGGAGAGTTCAAAGATACGCAATAGTTACATAAGAAAAACGCTCAATTGGAATATCTTTAAAAATTAAACAACCGAAATGGACAATATTCGGTTCCTAGTGTACAAAATTAATGATCTCGAAACAAACATGAAAAGACAAGTTTTATTAGGATAGATAGAATTTTTAATCTCGAGTGTATAAACCGAATGTCTTCTACAGAATGACTCTTAATACTTTAAATTACAGTTTGCACAGTCCACTGCAATGATCCAATTGCGGGTGATCAGCGGAATAATGAAGAAAATAGATTCCCGATGCGTCACATCGAAGATAGCTCGTGCAGGTCAAGCTCATATTATGCGACGTCCGTATAATATGACGTGGTATGAATCTGCAGAAATAATAAGTTCGGAGTTGAACGTGCATTTGTGGAAGCTGGGTGTGAAGAAATGTATGCACCTGTTGGATAGCCGCAAATCGATGAGACGCTGACTCACGCCCAGAGAAAATGAGAAGTCTGAATGTGAAGATGTGGATGTTGATTGGTGACAGTACAACAGAAGAGCAAAAAATTTCATGTACTAAGTGCATGTGAGAATGTACAATTGCACAAGTTTAGGGGTTAAGATAAAGTTTAGGGTCAAGTTGATGTAACAAGCACAGTTTCAACAACATGAAGGGAAATTGATCAAATGGCTCAAAGTAATTGAATACGGAGCTGAATGCGGAATACGGAAGTACACTCGCTACGATGATGACGTTAAAATCTCAGTTCTGTGGAATGTTAGAGTCCAGTGACAACTTCTTGGATCAGTGATGGCCTCAAGCCAGCCTATGAATGTGAAGACTAGATGGCCGGGGATTAAAAAACAGAGCATGATGAACTGATGGATATCTTTATTAGAGCATCTCAGTAATCCAACTGGTAAATTAAATTACACCCGAATATCAACTAAAGAGGGCAAGTCATTGAAGTCAGATGTAGAGGGTTCAAATCAGGATTCTACTGAGGTACGTTGCTCTACGGTAACAAAGTTAAAAATTCTTTCTACAGAATTATAATATATTTGAACATATTGTCAAAATATGTTCAAATTTTACGTTGTGAAGTTGCTACCTGCGTATGCATTTGAGTAGTTATGTACATGGCGCAGCAGGAATTGCTTTAAATGGAAAGACCTTTTCTTGAAATAGTTTTTAAATAGTCAGCAACCATTTAGCCTATCTGTTTGTACCCTACTACTGTCGTTGGCCTCCTGGTTTGGGGCAATAAGCCAATGTTATTCAACAACTGTTTAGAAATTCTATAGCGATGTGACGGAACTGTTTTGATCTTGCAATCAGAATAGGAGTTTATATAGAATTATGAAGCACTAGGTAGACTCTAGAAGCATCACTTTGAACAGTCTGTCAGGACTGTGTCCTTGAGTCCCAGCTAACCAGCGGCTAGGAGAAGACGAAAACGAGGAAATGAGATTGAAAGTAGCATCTAGTGACTCTAAGATTTCTCAATGCTGAATTACAAACATAGAATTCTATGTCCATAATGAGAACAGTGAATAATTCTCTGCTCCTCTGGAGCTGACCATAGGCTGTCCTTTCTTGGCTATTCTTGTTCCTGTATATCTGTGATCTCAAATGTAGCGGTAAGCGCTGTGCAGATGCGCTTGTAATCATCCGAAGTAATCATTGTGAGGAAAGACGTTACAATATATTACGTGGAGACTTCGCTTTTGTGGATGTAGTCAATAGCATCAAACAGCCATACATGTAGCGGCAGAAGTTGCCTGCAAAAGTAATTTTGGAAATTGAAAGTTCAGCATTTATTTCTCCACGCTTGAATACCAATTCACTTAATTATTGACACCGCTCAATATTACACGGGCGCTGCAAGCAGCAAAGCATTTCCTTTATCTCCCGATAGCGTCGTGGCACTGAAGGCTGAGTGGGTTGCGAAAACCAAGATGCGACCTCTATTTGATAAAGTCAAACGAAACTGGAGTCTGATTCCAATATCAGACACGACATAGCGCGGCAATTGTAAAGCCACTAAAGATAGGTTCAACAGGTGTATGGCAGCCAGGAATTCTACTTGCACCAGACATTTTTTCGTGCAAATAGCTCCACCCAAATTCAGTTCCACGCCGCTCGAGAACTCAGTTTCAGTTCAAGAGCACGTTCTCGGGAACTGCAGTATTGTCAAAACTTGCACCGTTGGCTTTGAACCAACTCAACTTCTCTACATCGGTCAAATTCTCGATCTGAGACATTAGTTGACTTGCATTTGACGATTTCAGTATCCAGGTGCCTGTAGCTGATGTATTAATACAAATCTTACTAGCAAAGTTATTGAAAGCATTACGGCGAATATTTTGGTCAATGCAGTAGACTGTGCGATCTATAAATTAAAGTTTTAAGAGTCATTCTGTAGGAGACTTTTCAAAGATATTCCAATTGAGTATTTTTCTTATGTCATTATTGCGTATCTTTGGACTCTGCATTATTCTCCATTATTACCGGTCTTCACTTCGGTCGTAACTTGTTCCACAATTAAGCTTGAAAAACACCCTCTCTCACTCCAGCCGACTTGCTATGTATGTTACCATCGTGATTGCCATAGTCGCAATTCGGGAAACTGGTCTTTGGAGAGAAAGTGAACTTGTTCAAGAAGAAGGGCGCTACTTTCGATGCTTCCACTGTTGTCATGACGAACCTCGATTTGAACCAAGCAGGAGCATCTGATTTCATATCCAGGATATTTAAGATCCAGCCTCGAGCTTTGAAGCAAGAGGTCATCGTGCGACAAGCAGATAACAAGAAAAATTCGCAGAGATGTGACTTTGACCTGAATTGTGGCCTTTTGCTGTACATGTACACATTGACAAGGATGCCGTGATCTAACCGAGGTTTTTATTTTACTGCTAATAAAAGCACAGGCCGAGTCTGGACGTACCTGCAGCATTGACCTGAATCAACACAAGGCTTGCATGCATTTCAGTTCAGACCTTATCCTGGTCCGAAAATACGAGGACCTAGTCGTTCCAGATCAGCTATATAAACACATCACTAATTCTGATTTCACATCACATCTGTATGCGGCGAGCTAGCAGGAGCAAACATTTCATCACGTCCAGCTTACAGTTCTGTACGTCCACCTCCGAAGATATCTTTTCTGCAATTATGTCCATGTTATATAACCAAAGTGTATTCTATGTGTAAACTATGCGAGCTACCTACACGTAACACATCGCTAATCTCGTTTCTTTAATAGAGCAAGTTACGAGGAGAAACTAGCTCTCACCAGATCCGAGACAGGTGCATGGGATCAGCAAGAGCTGGTAAAATGAGAGTTGCAGTGGTCAGGTCCGGAGTGGCAGGCCTGACTGCTGCTCGGACTCTAGCTCAGTCAGGTGCCAACGTCGTCCTCTACGAGAAAGACAGCCACATTGGCGGCCACACCAACACTCTGCACGTGGATGGCGTCGCCCTCGACATTGGATTCATGGTCTTCAACCAGGTACCTCCCATCTCCATTCCCTCTCCCTTCCCCTCCCTCCACGCCCGACAGAACAATAGCGCCATAGATCGAGAGCAATCGAGTCTGAGCACGTCCGAAACGATCTTGCCCGAGCCCGAGACCTCGAGCCCACCACGAGAGTAGCGAGAGCGAGCGAGCTGAAGATCTCGAGAGGCCGCCGCTGTCTCTCGACTGACGTAGTACATGACGGCGGTGTGTCGCGCGTCGGTCGGCCGTTGGCCGTGACGCCATGCGGATCGATGTCTCCGCGTTGTCGCCGTCGTGTTTTTGCCCCTGGCCCGCGACAATTCGTTCCTAAACCCTGAACATCGCCTCGGGTCACCTCGTGGTCGGGTTGGGTCAGGTGGCTTTGTTCCTGCTGCTGCTGCCCGAATCGGCCCGGGATGCATCTCGTGGCAGTGCCAGGCAGGCGCGCGGGCGCTAATGTCTAATGATGTGGACGCTGACTGGATGGATTATGGAGCAGGTGACGTACCCGAACATGGTGGCGTTCTTCGATGAAATCGGGGTGGAGATGGAGAAGTCGGACATGTCGTTCGCGGTGAGCCTGGACGGCGGCAAGGGCTGCGAGTGGGGCAGCACGAGCGTCGCGGGCCTGTTCGCGCAGCGATCGAATGCCGTGAACCCGTTCTTCTGGAACATGATCCGCGAGATGCTCAAATTCAAGGCCGACGTTCTCGCGTAAGAGCAGAATCTTGGCCAGACTTCCATTGCCCGCCCGTAATGTAGACAGAGAGAGAGAGAGAGAGAGAGAGATTGAGATTGAGGCCAGGGCCTCTGCCTTGTGAGCGAGCGAGTGAGCGGTTGATTGATCCACCTCCGATTTGGCTTGTCTGGTGGCTTGGTGGCTGGCTGGCTGGCTCCCGCCTGCTCTGCTTGCAGATTTCTAGCGAGAATCGAGAGCGGCGACCCGGGCATCGACGAGGCTACGACTCTCGCCGACTTTCTCACCTCGCACGGATACTCGCAGAAGTTCAAGGAATGCTACCTGGTACGCTCTTGCTTCTCCCTCTCCCCCGCGTGCCTGAGAGTCTCGAACAATTAAAATGTAGCTGCTCATTTCCATCTCCATCTCCAATGCACTTATTCACTCATTTACTTACTCTTCGGGTTGTGATTCTTGCAGATTCCGGTGTGCGCATCGATTTGGTCCTGCTCGTCACTCACAATCCTGGGCTTTTCGGCCGTCTCGATTCTCACTTTCTGCCGAAACCACCACTTGTTACAGGTCCAGTGCCGGACCAGATTCCAATTGTTCTTCAATCCCGCAATACTTGTGTTCCTGTTTTCGCTACCCAGTTTTTTGTGTGTCTAGCGTGTGCTGCCGGGCTCGGAGAGCTCGGACGGCCATGACGGTCATTCGACGAGGACGGGTCAACAGTTCATATACGGAGGAGGCCCCGTTCCGAGCCACGTGTGGAAATTGATTGTCTGAAGATTTTGCTGCGTGCAGTTATTCGGGCGGCCGCAGTGGATCACGGTGAAAGGCCGGTCCGAAACCTATGTGAGCAAGGTGAAGAGAACCCATGACTTGCCCCCATGACTTTCGCTCGCACTTGGCCTCCTCTCAGCTATTCTGTTGCGAAAATGTGGCCCCGAGGCTGCTGCCTGCTTCTTGAATGCCGGTTTGGCCGAGGAGTGCACAGTGTAGTCGAGGATACGAATTGACTTTTGATCTGCAGGTTGTAGATGAGCTTCAGGAGAGAGGAGCTGAGATCAGGGCCGCTACCGCCGTCACTCGCATAGAATCTCTCGATGACGGTATGTTCGATTTCATCTATCTGCATGTAAAATCTTGCACTCACTGCCGCGTTTCGAGCGTCCCGCCTCCGAGAAGTCGATGCAATTTGCAGGCAAAGAAAGTTTCAGCTGGTGTTTCTCGCGTGCAGGACGCGTGCGCGTGGAGGATGAACGAGGTGGAAATGAAATATTTGACGAATGCATCGTGGCTGCACATGCTCCTGACGCGTTGGAAATGCGGGGCGAATATGCCACTTCGAACGAGAAGAAGATTCTGGGAGCCTTTCAATATGCTTACAGGTCCCCTCCTTGCTCAGAGCATTCTTCCGCATCCACTCGTTTGCCATCGTGATTCGTTTGTTCCCCTCTAACGAGCAAAAATCAGAATTTTCCAGGTGATTTTTCCCTGGAGAGAATGCACTGAACACGTTCTTACTAACGAGCTTTTTCCAATCCACCATGGCAGTGATATTTACGTACACCGGGACGCGAATTTCATGCCCCGCAACAAGGCTGCCTGGGCTGCTTGGAATTTCCTCGGTGATGTCAACAATCGGTGTTGTGTGACTTACTGGCTGAATTTGCTACAGGTGTGGACATGATTGCCCACTTGCTCTCAGTGCACTGTTGTCCAGATTCGATCTAACTCCACTGATCGATATTTTCCTCTGCCTTTACCACTGCCTTGGTTCTCTTTACACCTTCCTTGGCTTTTTTCTTCCTTATCTCTCTCCAGGCTATCTAATTATTACTAACAAAATGCTGATGAATATTTTACACCTGCAGAACTTGGGAGACACAGGTTTGCCTTTTCTGGTCACCCTGAATCCGGCCAAGAAACCTGAACGAGTGGTCAGTCTCTGGAGAACGAGTCATCCTATTCCATCACCAGAGGCCGCCGATGCCTCCAAGCGCCTTGGTTCTATCCAAGGTCATCGTGGAGTGTGGTACTGTGGGGCTTATCAAGGTAAGGAGCTGCTCTTCGGCAACTCTTAACCGTTCACTTCTGCATCAAAAACTATCGCCTATGAGGGCATTATCTCAGTCTAAACTTTTCAAATGAGGTATTTGAATTTCGATATGTGATGACACCCTCTTTTTTTTAGATTGAATGAAGCAAATTCACTTCTCAGTGTTTAATGGCTAGTTCTGAGGCGAGGCTTTCCATTTCGCAGGCTATGGATTTCACGAAGATGGGTTCAAGGTAACCGCCAATTTGAGCATTTACTGAGCGCAACATCGGGCCACTTTCATTTGTACGAAATTTTATGCTTAACTCTGCACGGGTTAACACCGGGCTGACAGGAATTCAGTAACTTTACTTGACGCTGCTATGGGTGGATGTAAATTGATCAATGCAGGCTGGGTTAGTTGCCGCAAAACAGCTTCTGGGTCAGAAAGCAAAAGTGCTTCGGAATGTTAAACAGATGGTGCCTTCTTGGACGGAGTATAGTGCCCAGCAAGCAGTTGTGGCCGTCTTGCACAAATTCATACGCACTGGGCAGCTTCAGTAAGTTTGACTGTCTCGCTTACCTCATGTCTTAACAACGTTGATATTTTCAACTGAGGGACGAAAATTCTCTCTGTTGAACTTCAATTTCCGGATCCGAAGATAAAATTGAAAATTGAGTTGTGAAGTGGCATGCACTCTTGAATCGCTGAAGGTCTCGTCGTTTTAAGTTCACCCAAAGCTTTCCATAAGTTGCAGTAAAGGAAAGAACGAAGGAGTAATCTGGAAGACATTATGAAATAACCTACAAATTATGATCTAGTCTACAAAATATGTTTCTTGTACCCAAACGGGCTTAAGGAGAATGCCTTTTTTATTTCTGGCTTGACCTGTGTTTCGCACAACAGGATATTGGAAGCTGGTGGTTTGATTCATGACTTCATGGGCAGTAAAAAGGATTGCAGCTTGAAAGTTTCTATACGTGTCAATAGCCCGCAGTTCTACTGGAAGGTTTGTCATACATTAGACACACATCCTTTCTGCATAGTGAATGATCAATTTATCCGTCTTATCGTTCCTATTTAATGCCTGTTGGAGTCTGTTGTGATTTTGCTCACTCCACTGTGATACACACCTGTCCAAAAGATCAGTATTGGCTCAGCTCAATAGTATCTGACCCGTCAAACATTGGCTTGGAGCGAAGTCTTGAGATGATGAAAATGTGAAAACTGATTACAGTCATAATCCATTACGCTCCATCATGATGACAAACTGATCATCCCCCGCGTCGACATGTCCGTGCTGCAGATTGCTACTAGAGCAGATATTGGTCTTGCAGATGCATACGTAGATGGCGACTTCTCAATTGTAGGAGACAAAAATGGGCTTCTCCACTTCTTACAGGTTGGGCATCAAATCCACATACATACGGATTAAAGTTTCTTTTGTTTCACCAATGAGCTCCTCTTGCTAGCATCTTCGCATCCTTCGGTATCTGCGCTAATTCTTTTCTAATGTTTTTCGCACAGCTGATTATCGCCAATCGAGATATAAACCGATCTGAATTCGTGAAGCAAACAAGGTACACTCTCCTCGTAAGCAGTCGAAATTGTTATTTTGAGATGAAAATGGTATACCAAGTGAGCTTTATGGGGATCTGAGTCGCAAAATTCATGTGCGCAGGGGATGGTGGAATCCAGTTTTTGTGACCGCATCTGTCGGAGGAGCTGTTTCGTTTCTTAGACACAAATTGCGTGGAAATTCGCTCACTAATGCTCGTAGAAACATATCCAGACATTATGATCTGGTAGACCATTGCTTCCCATGCAATTTGATCCTGATTAGGTTGAGTGTCTTCCTTCTTTACATGCCCGAATAATATCAGGGCCATTGAGGAGAGTTGACTATATCTGCGTAATCTTTTCAGATTGCTGTCTGCATGCGAGTGGGAACTCCTGGATAATTATCCAACGCTTCTAATGCATGAAATATGTGATGCAGAGTAATGAGATTTTTGCTCTTTTCCTCGATGACACCATTACGTACTCCACAGCCATCTTCAAGGTGATGGTGAAGGATGATGTGACGATAGCGCAGTTCTCTTACGGAAAAATCATAATGTCATATTTTTATTACCACTTTAAAGAGTTCTGGACCTCAGGATCGATCAAATCGACGGGATTGGCCCTTGATTCTTAATTTTCCACTGAATGACATGTGCCGATACATACAATTTGGTCCAATTGGATGACTATCTTATCTGCGTCTTTATGTTATTCATACTGAAACATCACAGGGACCCAATGACACGCTAAAGGATGCGCAGCTTCGCAAGCTACATTTGATGATCCAAAAAGTAAGTTCCAAAACAGAACTTGACGAAAAGTGCCGAGAAGCAGAATGAAAATTATGTTCCAAAGCAGGATACTGTACAAAGATCATAGTCATTATTTTTTTATTGAGTTTGATCTATAGATCTATCTGGCCTCTGTAGTTCAGAAGAGCTAGAGAAGTTCTTCAGCTACTAGTAGAGCCCAGCGAGGGCGACGGGTCTATGGTCTTGAAAGATTGACAGGGAAGTACTCTCAAGTACAGATTAGTGATTCAGAGTGATTATGTTTAACATGCGGAGAATCCGAGTTAGTCTAAAACTCGTCTTGACTTCCCCCATGGCGAGGAGGAAATGTATTATGGTCGATGAAGGAGTCAGTAAGTTTGAAATTCCGCTGGCTGTGATCATTGATATTTCTATTGTGATCCCGCAGGCAAAAATAGAACCTCATCATGAGGTATTAGAAATAGGATTTGGGTGGGGAAGTATGGCTATCGAACTGGTCCGGCGTACTGGATGCAACTACACAGTGTGAGCACAAAAATTGTGCTCACATGTCTTTTTACCCTTATGAGAGTTAAAAGTTTGGATTTAAGCTCTTGCAACATTATGCTTGGGGTTTTCTGAAAGTTTCTGCAATATTACGAGTTGGTGTGATGGTTACGGGGCAAGAGGTGCGGAAGGAGGCCTTCAGGGCAAGGTCTTCGGCGAAGTGCCTTCGGTGAAATCCCTTCGGGGAAAGGCCTTCAGCGAAAGAGTGAAACTCTCATAACGTTTTCAATGTGTGACGCATCGACTCAGTTAGGGTCTCGTTGGAAAGAGCTCGCGACGCTCGTTCCAACGAGCCCAATAACTTGTGAAACGGATGAGAGGTCACTGAGTTATGAGTGGCGGAAGTTTGTGATATAGAGTGAACTTCGGCCTGTGCACGGGCGAGCCTCGACGGACGGGCGAGCCTCGCAGTGCGGACGGGCGAGCCTCGACGGACGGACACCTGCGCACGGACGCGGACGCTCATAACTTTCTCAATTCTTAGCGGTTTGACTTGATTCGGGTCTCGTTGGAGAGAACTCGACGAGCTCGTTCCAACGAGACCAAGATCTCTTGAAACGGATGAGGCATCACCGAGTTAGGAGCGGCGGAAGTTTCTGATATGGAGAGCCTTCGGCGCTAACATTTAGAGGGGCCTTCGGCGTTAACAGTTAGAGGGGCGGTTGACGACGCGGACGCCTGTGCACAGGCGGGTTGCAAGTAGGCGGCCTGTGCACAGGCAGGCCTTCGGCGGACGAGCCTCGACGGACGGACACCTGCGCACGGACGCGGACGCCTGTGCACAGGCGGGTTGCAAGTAGGCGGCCTGTGCATAGGCAGGCCTTCGGCGGAAGGGTAAAATCGACATAACGTTTTCAATTCTTAATGGTTTGCGTTGGTTGGGATCTCGTTGGAAAGAGCTCGCAACGCTCGTTCCAACGAGCCCAAGAACGCCTGGAACGGATGAGAATTTAGGGAGTTATGACTATTGGAAAATCCGCCTTCGGCCCTAGATGTTCGCCTTCGGGGTTATGCTTCCGGGAATTCCGCCTTCGGAGGTAGGGAGAACAACTTTTGTCCGATGCGCGGACGGACGACTTCGACGGTTGCAGGCCTTCGGCGGAAGAGTAAAACAGTCATAACTTTCTCAATTCGTATACGTTTGACTTGGTTATGGGCTCGTTGGAAAGAGCACAACACGCTCGTTCCAACGAGCCCAAGAACGTTGCAAACGAAGCAAGGATCCGTGAGTTATGGGCGTCGGGGTGACTGTTATAGATAGGCAAGGGGTGGAAGTGCGTCTTTGGCGGTTGGACGCATTCGGCGGTGCGCGGAAGGAGATTTCCTCCGGCGAGGATCGGGTGGTCATGAATGTAGAATGTTCAGGTGTGGCAGTGGCGGCGGCGTGAAGTCAAGTTGGTGTGGCAGAGACGGCGGGGCATAAAGTCGCGCATGGGAAGTAGGTGTGACCCATCATTGCGGGTGGGGCATTCAGGCGGGTTGTGGTGTGTTCGGCCTGGAAGTTGAGACCTGGTGGGGAGTTCGGCCTTGGGGCGGAGAGCTGGAGTGTACCAGTGTACCAGTGTGCGCGAGCTGGATCGCGTGGTGTGCCATTGTGCGGAGACACGGGTGGGATCGGTAGGAGGATAGAGTGTGGAGAGTTCGAAGGAAGAGGAAGCAAACTCTCGTGGGTAGAGAGTTGTATCTGAGTGTGAAATTAGAGTGGGATCCGAGATTGAAGTGTAATCTGTGAGTGGGATCCGAGATTGAAGTGTAATCTGTGAGTGGGAGCTGAAATCCGAGTGGAAGATCTGTGAGTAGGAGCTGAGAGTGAAGTGAAATCTGAGAGTGAAATCTGACAGTCGGGATCTGAATTTGAAACTGAAAAGGGAGAGTGGAATCTGAGTAGGAATTGGGAGTGGAACTCAAAGCTAGGATAGACCACAGCGGCTGTGGTATTGAGAAAGTTACCCAGAGTTGGGTTAGATCTTTATGTAACAAAGAGCTTGTCTGCTGCTCTTGTGGAGATAGCAGACAGCAAGTTATTATTTTCAGTTCTGGATAATTTGTCTGTGAAAGAGCAAGTGTTATGATCTCATTGTCTTGAATACACTTTGACCACATGGTTGAGATCAGAGAAGTTAGATTATGGGAGCTCGAACCCCCACCTGGACTACAAACGCTGAAGGGTGGGGAGTTTAGGCCCACACACAGGAATCACCCTATCAAAAGAGCAGTTGGCCTTCGCGAAAGATCGTGTTAAGCAGGAGGGTCTTGAGGTAGGAACTCCGAGCATGTTCCACAATTCAAGCTTTTAGACTGCAAATGTAACAACGGTTCGGACGGTCACTAATTCGTTATATTTTCCTCTTGATATGAATGCAGGATAAAATTATTTTCAAACTCTGTGATTATCGATCTTTAGAAGGCCATCACAAGTTTAATCGGATTATCTCCTGGTGAGTACGCTACTACAAATGAAGTACAACTGGGACCAATATCTTGATGTACAACATGTTGTAATTCTTGTGTAGCTGGCTAGAAAATCAAGACGACCGAGTTTGTGGCATATATACATGTATGGCTTCCCTTCCCTTCAACTTCATATGGCCTCAAACTTCATTGTAAAAGTAGCTATCGATCTTGACTGCGACTATCGTGTGCCTCTGCATAAATTGCAGTGAAATGCTGGAGGCTGTAGGACATGAGTATTACAAGGAATTTTTCTCGAGATGTGACTACCTGCTAGCCAAAGATGGACTTATGGTTCTACAAGTAAGAATGCTAAACTCAGCGCATTTCTGAAGGCGAATCGTGTGTACCTGTCCGAAAGTCATTGTCATTTCCATTTATTTACTTGCGACCAACGGAGGAAATTTGTAAAGATCTTGTCATGGATGGATGGGATGGAATTTTAGAGTATCTTTTTTTTGAGGTCGCTCCTCACTCTCAACTACTTGCAGTTTGCAATCATCCCCGACGAGAGATACAACGAATATCTCAAGAGCTCCGATTTCATTAAAGAGTACATATTCCCTGGCGGTAGTCTCCCTTGTATCAGTGCTCTTACCTCTGCCATGGCTGCTGGATCGACACTGAGGTAGTGCTTTGTGCCCATTTCTGCTCATATATATATATATATATATATATATTCTCTCACTTTGTGCTAAAACGATATCACATCTTTACTGAAGCACTTGTTCTCCTTCGACAGTCTGGAGCATTTAGAGAACATTGGCCTCCATTACTTCCAGACACTGATGTGTTGGCGAGAGAACTTCCTCGCGAAGGCCAGGTAAAAGACGAATTTATTTCAAGGATCTCTAGTATATATTAGCAACCAAATTAACCTCAAACACGGATCACACCGTCTGAATTTGGTTGTTGTCTCGGTTTGCACAGTGAATGTAGAAAGCTCGGTTTCAATGATAAATTTATTCGAATGTGGGATTATTACTTCATCTACTGCGCGGCTGGATTCCAAACCTGTACCTTAGGCAACTTACAGGTAACCCGACTCTTTGCCCTCCGATGAGACGTATTCGTAAATGCAATGTATTTCCCTGCAAATTTTCCTCCTCTTTTTCCATCTGCTCTGGAACAACGGCAGCTCATCCATTATCAGCATTAAGCTTCAGATTCGAGAGAATTCAGATTTTCAGAGATTTCGAGTATTTGTTAATCTTTAGTCACCCCTTGTACGGTCTCTCATATTGCTTAAGCGTGCTGACATGGATTCTGTAATGCTGACTGCGCAGCTGGTCCTTTCACGGCCCGGGAACGTGGCAGCACTTGGAAACCCTTACGTTAGCTTTCCTATGGGCCTGGCATCTGATTCCTCCTTGGAAGCCTTTTTAGAATGTAGAAAGAAATTGTGAACCGTAGAAATGTAATTACCATCGTACGTGGACTTTACCTTGTAAAAAAAAAGTTTCTGTCGTTGCAGCACATATCGTGGTGTAAAGAGTCAAATTATCACTTGCCTCTGTATGAACACTTGTGACAAGATCGTCTGTGAAGTATCCGAAGCAGCTGCTGTTGTCGAAGCACGTAAGAGCCGCATGAACCTAAAATGCATAACTCATCTGTGGCTCTATAGAAGTGTTACCGAAAACCAACTTGGGATTGTGTGAGCATGATATATAACTCCAGTCATACCCGGAAATAACATGAGTGACGTGTTTTGCTTACATGGTGTAATAAGCCATGCTTA